TTGCAGTGTGGACTCAGATAACCCAGTTCAAAGCAGATATTGTGGGTTATTCTGTCTTGATGTTCTGGCTTATATGGCTGTGTGGAAAGGCCCTAAGTCTTTAATAAAGATGTTGAATAGCATCAGATCTAGGCCAGAACCCTGTGGCACTCCACTAGTCACTTCTTTCCAGGATGAAGAGGAACCAGTGGTGAGAGCACCTTTTAGGCTCTGTCGCTTAACCAATCACAAATCCACCTAGCAGTAGTATTATTTCTGCCAAAAAGCATGATTTACATGGGTTCTCATCAAGGAATGCACAATAGATGTTCTGGCCAGGTACTGTGCAGTCCTACGATTGGAGTTTACATTTCAGAATCACTAGAGCACCATGAGTGTTCAGCTACAGACCTTTGGGCTTTCTGAAAAATAAAGACATTTCAACTGTTGAAGATTACTCCTTATAGTTTACCATTTTGCTCAGTAGCCTTTCAGTCAGCATCATTTTTACAGACTAGGAACAAGTCCAGCCTCTTCTTTTGACTGCAGAGCTGGGTTATCTTTATTTAAAAGAGAACTTTCCAATACTATTGAAAGTTCTGCACCTGGGAAACAGCCATCTTTTTATTCTAGGGGTTCAAATTACTCTTTGCTCAAGGAGTACTAAAGCAGGGCCATGACAAAGGTAAGACAAGATGGTCTGTTTTGCCAGCATTGCCATAGTGTTTGCAAGCTTTTCCAAACTGTTATTGTCTTTGTCTGTACTATCCAGGCCTATCTATAATATTTGATCTTATCATGTGAAATTTCATCATCATGTGAAATTAATATGATTTTAAGTTGTGAAATTTTGAAGTAGAACTGTGCTGGCATGTAAGTGCCAGGAGGTTTGAATTCCTTTTCTTGCACTGCTAGTTTGTATGAATCTATTTGAGCCATGCATTTTGAAATAAGGTCGCTTCCCTCAGGTTGCAATCATAGGGCCAACAACTTGGCAATCATCGTTAGAATCCTTAGACCCGCCCCTTTTCCCAGGGTTTTGGAGGCAAAGGAGGACCTTTGTTCAGTCTCACTGTTTTGGAGCCTAACAGCAGGACGTGTGGGTCTCTCTCTCCTACCTGCACAAAGACTTCACTTCTCACAGCTCTGCTGGGGGAAAAAAGGAAAGGTTCCACAGTTTTTGCTGGGGGTTAAAGAAATAGATCCACAGCTCTGCTGGGGAGTAAAGAAATAGTTCCTACAGTCTTCATGGAGAAACTAAAGGACACCTTTCAGCTTGGCAGATCTATAGGAACCTTGCCTGGTAAGGGACCACTTGGGCTACCCATAAGGCAGCTTGGAGCCGGGAGTAGGGGCCTCACACCAGCAAGGTAAAGAGAGATTGCCCAGGAAGGGGTCAAAGGATTTCTCTAAGGAAGAAAGGAACAATTTACCACCAGTTGCCTGCCCCTTGTTGGCAGATTGAGGAAGCTACCGGTTTCCCAAGGTTATAAAGTGTTTAATCCATTTGTTTAAAGATTTAAGCCCAAATAAAGAACTTTGTTGAACTTATCTTGAGCCTCAATAGAACTCTGTTTTGGGAAATCTAAAGGGCCCTTCAGCTGAGGCACCCCGGCATCCCGTTGGGCATACAGAGAGCACGTCCTGTAAACAGACATTATTTCAGGCCCACTTGTCCTATTAAATTTCATTATTTCCACTATAAACACCATGTTCTCCACCATTACACAAACACATTGAGAACAGCTTCTTTTGTGTTTTAAGATAAGGATTTTTGTTTTTCATATTTTGGAAAGTATGTAATATATTATGCTGCATTTCCTCCAACTTCTATAGAAAAAAAATAGTCAGCTTCTTCTACAGAATTAACACATTTAGCATTTTAGTATATAGATGATGTGAAGTACCCATCATTTTGTAGAATAGAAACTGGTTTTGTCAAAGAAGTGCCTGGACTTTTTCTTTTTCCTTTGAAAGACAAGCCCTCCCTCTTCTGGCTATATAGAATATAACAGGTCAGAAGATATGCAAGAAAATGACATGTATCTCACAGTTTAAACGTAAGAATATATAATATTACTTTAAACCTTTTTTGCAGATGTGCAGTAGCTTACAATTGTCTGTATCTATTCATATTGATGTGCTGAATGTATATGTTAACAGTAGTAGTAATTGATAAAATTATGTGACTATACATTCTAGATGGAAAAAGTAACAAAACAAAAAAAAACACCTTAATTTTGAAGAACATGAAAGTACTTTCTTTTGATAGATAACAATAGCAATATTATCTTGGTCCAGAACCAGAATAAAATCTGCAACAAAAAAAAGTTCTTATGAGTGCTTCTGCTTAGAGTTCCAATAATGTCATCTTCTATTCCCATATTCCCCCTCCATTTTCCTCTACTCAGAATAGAGCCAGCCAGAATTTAGTCTCACTGAGTACACTGAGTTATCTATGAGCAGATTTTAATATTTACCCTCTTCTCCACTTACATTTTACCATAGTTCAGTAATATAGTGGTGCCACTAGGCTGGTGCAGGGGGTGCAAACAGCACTGAGTGACACCATCAGAGAGGGTGACACCAAAAGGACTGTCTATAAAATGTGTGCAGCATTTCAGGAGAAATGTATTCTTTACAAATATATCCCTGTAGCTTACTCAACATGCATGTCTCATACCAATGTATGAGACATGCATGTACATGCACTCCAGTTGGTGCTGTCATTATCACCCAATTACAATGACACTTTAATTGATGTAGTTTCTTTACATATGCATTGGTGTTTTCCTTGCTGATGTTTTTATAGTCACTGATTTTGTAAAGGTTTCTGGTATTTTAACTACAATAGTGTGGTATAATTTGCTACGGAGAGTCATCCACAGTTACACCTGAGTTACCGCACTGGGTGACATCAACTCTAGTGACATCACTGCAGTAATTGTTGAGGTTTTCCAAGCTTGATAGTTTTTTTTGTTTCTTTCTTTTTAGTTGAAGGTTTATGAATACATAACAATAGGCACATTAGGGATGAGATGAAAAGATGAAGTATATTGGGGTTTAGAGGTACAGAGGGATCTTTGGAGTTCAGAGTCCTAAAAATCCCTAAAAAGTTCTCAAATTGCTATGAGGAAAAATGATGGCAGATCAAACCTAAAAAAATGTCTCCGGGTTACTTTATCCCACTTGGGCCTTTGGGCACCTTGCTACTCTTTGGGGATGGGGTCTGCCAAGCTCCATCACATGATGCTGTCTTGGCACCACCCAATTGATCCCTGAAATAGTGAGGAAGTGTCGCAAGATATTTCCTCAGCAACGCTGCAATGTAAGTAGTGTTTTGGATAGCTCCCCTTTTCCCCATCCAATGGGGACAAAGTGCCAATGAGCCTTGTCCCATTCCCCCCTTGTGGTGAGGGAAGGAAGGAGGTTGTGTGGGGTGCTGGCAAAATGGAATAAGATGGGGGAGGGGCCCAACTGTATGATGTGGTCCTTGATCTAACTGTGTGGTAGAGCAATTGCAAATAACACTGTGGATTATTAAAACTTATCTGCCTAAGCATCTTCTTTAAAATCTTGATGAAATCCAGCAAGCATTATTTGTGATAGGAAGACAGGGAGATCTGGGGTTTTTGTTTCTTTCATCTAATATTATCCAAATTATCCACAGATATAAACAACATGTAGATTTTACCTTTGGGTTGGATTTTCAGAATACTGGCATACCTACAAATGTTTCAATTTGGCAAAAACAATTCTATTAATATTTATTTATTTACTTCATTTATATCCCACCCTTCTCTACCCTGAAGGGGACTCAGAGAGGTCTTACAAATTAGGTAGCAATTTGATGCCAAAACGTAAACACACAATACAGTAAACATTTACATTAAAACCAAACAATAAATCAACACAGTTTAAAACCAGTTATTAAAATCATACCATCCATAATCATAATCCAAAGCCATTCCATTGGTCCATTCACTGTTCCTTATTCTCTTGTTGAACTAAAAAACTTTCTAAACAATCTTCTATTGTTTCGCCCTTTTAGCTGGTTTTAAAATGTCATAGTTTTTCTCCATCCACCTACTTTTTCACTTTGTTCTTAGCATACTTCAGTTGGTTCAAACTGAGTTCAAAGTAACTTACACTCAGTTAACTCAGTGGGAACAGAGAAGAGGTGGAATCGTGCCTCTTTTCAGGCAAAGTTAAATGGCTGCAGCTTCTTCTAGCTGGTATGTTATATATTAGTTATAATTGTTTTATTCTGTTGACTGCACTTTGTTACTGCTTGGCCACATGCGTGAAATGTTGGATATTATGTAGTGCTACCTCTTTTGAATAAAGAGAATAGGGATAACCACAGAATTACAGGCAACAAAGCTTCTTAGATGTGGTATCAAAGCTGTGCACACAATACTTTCTCCATAAAGAATAGGAAGAAACTAGGAACATTATTAAATGTTGACAGGATTCCCAAGAAAGAATGAACAACATTCTAGAGAACTTGGGATAATATCAAAAATCTCTTTATATGTACAATTCTCCATGGATCACAAAATATCTGTTTATTTGTGAACTGTTTGAAAGGGATATGAGGGGGGGATCCCCCACCTTGTGTGTCTGAGGAGCAGAACAGACAACTCCGCATCTGTATGCTTTTCCACTATGCCCTGCCTCATGTACAGAAGAAGAATTGTTGGAGACTACAAACAATGCCATTGCTGTTGCCCATTTTTGGTCAAAAGATATTTAACTGCTTGTGCTCCTTCTATTTTTATAAGTTTTATACTAATTTATGCCATGCTTTTGATACAAAATAAATAAATAATGTGCAACCTTATTCTTGAAAACTAGAATGTATCATGATTTACACTATGCAAATATATTTGCTTAATAACATTTTGCGTAATTCAAGATTGATTTACAAAATGAAAATGCTTCTCCAAAATGCTACCTAGCTAGCTCCTTAATCTGATTTATTTAACATTCATATAACTCCTTTTTGTTTCTTTATGCAGTTTTGCGGCATCTTGTCATGGCTGGAACAGCTAATTGGTAATTAATATATCTTCTTTTCTTCATAACAAATGCTTCATAATATGTACACTATTTTTAGGGGTGCTATATGACTGAAAAGAAAGGTTAAGTGTAGGGTGCATTTTAAACAAAACTAGTGTAACATAAAAATGAGTAGTGTATGCTATTAAAACTGCAACCTCATATTCACGTATCAGGAAGTAATTCACATTGATTGCCATGGCAATTGCGTCTATTCGAAATATAGAATAAAATTAGAAATTCTGCATCTTTTCTTATAGTAATGTGATAACTGATAACAAATCCATTAATAGGAGATAAAACATTATTTGTCATAAGAATAATTTCTTTCAGTAATTGCATCCAAATGGATTTAAAAGTAATTTTCTTAACTCTAGTTTTTTTAATACATTGCATTTTAAATATTATTGCATTCATTGGTCAATACAGGTTGAGTCTTCCTTACTGGAAATACTCCAAAAACAGAAGCTTTTCCTGCCAGCCAGCCAGTTCTACTTTTGGGGGTAGGGGGCAAGTCACACATCTGCATCTGATGTGTTTTTCTTAAAAACATCTGATGGAGGAAAAGATGGAAGAGAAAGAGGGAATAATTCAATTTACACAGGGCCTCTGTAAAATCAGACATTGCAGACTCTTCCCAGGTTGTCAGTGCTGGATGTGTGACTAGCCTGCTTTTGCCTCCTTTTCTTTGTTCACTATGCATATGTAAATACATCATGTTCCAAAATCAAAACCAAAAAAACCCAATTAAAATCCAAGAAATTTTGGTCTCAAACATTTTGGACAAGGGAGATTCAACCTCTAAATACAATATGGAATAGTCCTTTCTTTGTAAATTAAGCTTAAAGAGAACCAGAAAATGCTTTCTTTATGGAAAGAGATATTTCAGGATTATATTACACTATGTACTCTTATTTCTTGGTTTTGGGTTTCTGTTTGGGAGGTAAAAACCAATATTATATAAAAATGTGAAATGCTAGAATCTTTTAGGTGTTACTGAACAATGTTAGACGCTATTGTGTATTTTTTTTTTAAAGATGTGTCACAGCATTTGTTTATTTCTTACTAATTTTATTGTGCCTTTGTTTTGGTGTGCTTGTATTACTGTTCTATGTTGAATTGCATCCTTGTAAATCTGTACAGGGCCTTTAAACATTTCATTAAGTATTTTCACCATAAAGATTACTTTCTTCATCTTTTAACATTTATGGAACCAATTGTAGCAATCATGTCCCAAATCATCAATTGAAAAATCTGATTATTGTAACTGCTGCTCCACATTATTTACCCTGATCCAGCATTTCCTTCAGCCAGCAAGAGTCCTATTTGGAGGTGAGGGGATGTTACATTTTTCTGATTCTCTCCTTCCCTTGTAACCTATAGAGCCAATTCTTGTGCTGTTCTAAAGGATTTCCCAATCTTTCAGAGAAGATTTGCAGGGGAATGAGGGAAAATAAGGAAAGGAAAGCATCCACAGAGATAGTTTAGTCATGCTGGCTAGAGGATCCTGAAAATTATATTGGACAATGATATTTTCTAACTTCTTCACTTGTTAATGTAACCCTTTAGTTTCTCCTTTTTGATTTTAAAATTTAAATTATTCAAAGGTAAAATCCAGTTCCTATCGGCCGGCGCATTTATTTATCACATGTATCTCAATTTTTCCTCTTAATACTGTGGATCTTATAATATTTTCAAAATGCCAGCAGAGACATGCTACTACCTTTCAGCAGGGCCAAGTCAGCAAGAACGGATAATAGGCTTCTGTAACAAACTAATCCTGTAAGAGGACAAAGAAAAATAATAGGCAAAAAAAACAATTCAGCAGAGAAAGGGCGGACATGAGCAAATGCTGGCTTTAACAACAAATAGAGAAATACATTTACACAGGCTACAGAGAACAGAAATCTGAGGGAAAAGTAGTGGAAGGACCAGCAAAACCAAATGCTAGGATACAGGAAATAGCTTAACAACAGACAAATCTGAATTCAGAGATGAACAGATTGAATTTGGGGTGGCGGGGGGGGGGGGGAATGACAAAGATAACAATAGAGCTGATGCCAGTGTGATTGTTGACGAAAATAAAATGTTCACTTGAATGTATCATTAAATCGTCCACAACTTCCTTAAAATGAATAAATTAATACAACAACCAGAAGAAGTTTGCATGAATGAATTTTAGTTTTGATAAGTATTGCTTGGGGCAGCCAGGCTGGTTAAACAGAAACAATGTTTACCTTGTGAACTACCCAGAAACTGAAAATCTCTGTCTGAATGTAAACTATAAACATAAAATACAAGAAAACAATTAATCAGTAATGGGGATGTAAACCATGTTCTCCAGGGTTGTACTCCAGCGCTGAAATCACTACTGGCCCTCAATAATTAAATGAATGATGTTTTAAAATGAGATAAAACCAGAATACCATATACCATGCAGCTGTAGACAAGTCTACATAGGAACCACGAAACACAGTGGCCAAACACGAATCGGGGAACATGAAAGACACTGAAGACTAATTCAACCAGAGAAGTCAGCCATAGCAGAGCACTTGATGAACCAACCTGGACACAGCATATGATTTGAGAACACAGAAATGCTGGACCACTCTCACAACCACCATGTCACACTACACAGAGAAGCCACTGAAATCCACAAGCATGTGGACAATTACAACAGAATGGAGGAAACCATGAAAATGAATAATATCTGGCTACCGGTATTAAAAAACTCTAAAATCACAACAGTAAGTGAAGAACAACAGTCAAAAACCAGGGGAATTCCAGACAAGAAACAATCAGGGCAGCTAATCACCTCCCAACAAAGGATTCCCCAAGCAGGAAACAGCCAAGCCTTGAGCTACAAGGCTATTCAATGGTAATCAAGGTAATTGATTCCAACATTTACACTTGCCTCAAACAGACAAGAGTTCTTTCTCCCACCCTATACATTTCACAGGCATATAAACCCCACTTGCCTTGTTTACAGCAAAGCTCACAACCTCTGAGGATTCCTGTCAGGAGAGAATGTTTTTGGAACATGGCCATAGAGCCTGGAAAACTCACAGCAACCCAGTAAAACCAGAAGCTTCACATTTGTAACTCAAAACATGACCAGTAATAAAGATAAAGATAAAAAAATATATAAACCTCCTCAGATGAGGCAGGAGAAGAACTGAACCTAGATAAGAGGCTCCAATCAGAAGAAATTTGCAACCCTTCCCTATATCCAGAATAGCTTTTTTTTTCTAGAAGTAGACTCCAGACCATCACATTTAGACTAGAGGGCATGTGTGTGTGTGTGCGTGTGTGTGTATGAAATGGACCTCATTCCGCAAAGCAGACATAGCCCAAAATCCAATAATTCATCTCAACTAGAACACACCTGCTGAACCAATGAAACTCAGATTTAAGTTACCTCAGTACACTGATCTAATGCATTTATTTTAATTGGAACTAAACATTGGCTTTAGGTTGTTACTATGTTTTATTTTAGTCTATCATTTTTCCTACCCTTATCCACTGATTTTTTTTAAACCCACCAAAACTTGGGCTTCACAGTACAATTAAAATAAATCAATATTTTAGATAGAAAAGGTGCAGATTGAAAGATTAGAAAGGTTATATTTAAGCACAATAATCAGATACAAGCTAGTGCCCAATTTTACTGATTATATTTTTTTAGAGTTGTGTAGTAGGGATATATGATCAATTAAAAATGGTTCAAAAGTTATTACAAAACTGGTGTGCTGGCATTTTGTTTCTGAAGTGCTTCTAAAGTATCGTTAGTGAAAAAAATGTTACTATAATGAGAGTAATGAAATTTTGTTACTATTTCGTTACAGTAATTGCACATAAAATACTATAATTGGGGAAACGCCAGGGGCTCCTTTCTCCCTCATTTTTAAAGCTATTGGAGTGAAACTGGTAGAACATATTTGCCATTGTTAGCCCATCAGGTTTCAGAACATTTCACTTATTCCATGGATTTCTGGGGAATTTTCAAAGTTTCTATAAATAACATTTTAAAAAAACTACAAGAGCTAGCTTCTTGAATTTTCTATACTATGACAGGAGATAACAGGAGATCATGCCCCCCCCCCCCAACTTTCAGAAAACAATCATACATCTACTAATTTTAGGGATTTTAAAACAAGTTTTGACAAAAAAAATGTAAAGTCACATCAGCTATTTCATTGAATGACTATCATATTACCCAATCAAAACAAATATTAATCAATTCTACATTTTCATAGAATCCTAGAGTTGGAGGGGATCCCCAAATGCCATCTTTTCTAACCATCTTCTTCCAGACAGAAGGACACCATCAAAACTCTACTGTCAGATGGCCATCCAGCATCTAAATGAATTAATATGCTTCCTGTGTAGTATGGGGACCATCTATTTAGGGATTTCTTCCCAGCCCAGCACAGAGATTTACTTACTAGAAGTATCCGTCAGTCCTCCTCTTTGCAGATTCAATCATTCATTGGAACTCTCACTGGCTGCTATTAGGGAGGGACCTCTCTCTGTTAACGTGATTTCTGATGCTGATGCATTCTGGGAAATGTAGTTTAGGGCAGGGCCTTTGGAATTCTCTCCTACTTTCACAAGCTGCATTACCCAGAGTTCTGTGCTGTTCCCAGCAAACACTGCTCCCTTCCCCCCACCCCCATTCCTAATGTGGAGACTCCATTAATTTAGAGAAAAGGCAATGCACTAAGGCAGCCTTTTTGGCTTGGCTTTGCTTCCTTGCGCTGAAAAGGAAACTGACTTCCCAAAGTCAGATTTACAAAACTAAAACAAAAAAGTAAGAGGTAAGTTTTGACTCTTAAAATTTTGGCGCATGTTAGATACTGCCTCATAAGTACAAAATTTAATAAATTTGATCCAAATTATGAGGCAAACGAAAAAATGCATACCTCTATTGTGTAACAGTGATGAAGGCAGAACCACAGAACGAACAAACGAATGAATGAATTTTATTGTGATGGTCA